AAGCAGAGGTGCGGCAGGGTTTGGGCAGGGTTCCGGCTTGCGGTGTTTTCCTACGTTACTTTCTATGCCAGGAGTCTCAGGGGTGTGGCTTCAGACCCATTGAGGGAGGAGCCCTAGGACTAGTCAATCAAAGTGCACGGGCGGGAAAGCCTCTCCGTGCTGCAGTAGGGGTCGCCATCTCTGTGCATCTCCAAAGTTGGCGCGGGAGCTCCAGGAAGGCCCAAGGCTTGATGCAGATTGTCTAGTTCATCCACTCCAGTGAGCAAAGTAAGTGTTTTGTGAGGGATGTGGACACTGGTCAGCAAGGGAGAAATCTTAGGTGTAGGTAGCCTTGAAGTGGCGGACGTAGGGAAGTGGATTGGGTTTACATCCCACCACAGTTTTATATATATATATTTATATGTATATATAACCCTAAGCCTATGAGCCCTCTTTATCTGCTCGGGGAAATACCAAGCAGAGGTCCGGCACGGGTCCGGCCGGGTTTCCGCTTGTGTTTTCCTACTGTACGTTCTATACTACGAGTCTAAGGGGTGTGGCTTCAGACCCACTGTGGGAGGAATCATAGGAGTAGTCAATCAAACTGCACAGGCGGGAGAGTCTCTCCGTGCTGCAGTAGGGGTGCCATCTGTATCACCAAAGTTCCCGTGGGAGATCCAAGAAGGGTCACGGCTTGTGCAGTTTGTCTAGTTCGTTCACTGCAGTGAACAAAGTAAGTCTTTTTGTGAAAGATGTGGACACGGGTCAGGAAAGAAGGAATTTTAGGCCTAGGTAGTGGTGAAGAGGCGGACGTAAGGCAGGGGAGTGGGTTCACATTCCAAGACAGTTATATATATATATATATATATATATATATATATATATATATATTCCATACCCTATGAGCCCTCTTCATGAGCCCTGGGAAATGTCAGGCAGGGGTCCGGTACGTGTCCGGAAGGGTTCCTGCTTGTGGTGTTTTGCTTCTTTACATTGTGTTCCAGGAATCTAAGGAGTGTGGCTTCAGACCCAGGGAGGGTGGAGTACTAAGACCAGCCAATGAAACTGCAGAAGACAGAGGGCCTGTGGCACTAGCAGTGTTGGGCTCCATATCTTTTTCTCTTAACAGCTGCCCGGGCATCTGCAGGGTCTCAGCTTGGGCTTTTTTGCAGTGGCCATCTTTGGCATCTGAGAGAGGTGAGTTTTTGTGTACATGGTAGCCAATGTGGGGAGTTCTATATGTGGCCAACTTTAAATTTACGGTTTTGAAATAGCAGGGGTTTCTTTTCACCACCAGCTACTAGATGGGATTTGTGAGAGTTAGGTTGTTGCTGGGAACAGGTTGGTCGAGTTGTAGGAGAGGGGCATATCCTGCCTTAACCATGGGGTCAGCTTCTGGAATTCCAGTAGTGGCAGGGAAATGTGTTTCCTTACTTGGAATCTCTTTTTTTGTCATTAGCATGTTTGTTGTGCATAGTTAATACATTCTTCATCGGTGGTTGGCACATGTAGGTATCACATTTTAAATCATTTTATGTCTGTTTCCCCTCCCCCTATCTTTGGAATCTGAAGGAAAGGAGGTTTTATGAGGGAGCTTGGCTCAGCTCAGCAGGGGCAGAGTCCCAGGCGCTGACTGGCATTAAAATGAATATCTGAGGGAGAAGCCAGGGAGATTCCTGCCCAGTCCTGGCCCTACTGTTAACTCTGGTCAGACCCGGAAAACGTCCCCGAATGTCGTATGCCTGGACTTCCTCCTTGGAACCCGAAAGGTTGCTTTTCCAAGGAAGCTTCACTGGGTTTAACAAAGGGATGTGTCCCAGGGAGTGTAAGGCACAAAATGAAGACCCTGTGGAAGCAGTAGGAAAACTTCCTGCCACATGTAGAGAGGGCCTCAGGTCTATCCAGCCCCTGCTGTCACTCATAGGTGACCCCAGGCAGGTTCCAGGATGTGGTATATTCCTAAGGGTTTTGTTGTGGCTGTTCCACTTAGGTCAGCAGAGAGAGGTACCTAGGCAGTGCCAGGTAGTACAATGAAGTGACTGACCCAGGCCTTAGTACGGTTAATTTAAGGACTGAGGATACCCTCACACTGAAAAAAAATAAAGGGAATTCAATTTTTCTCTGTTCTTGCTGTCAGTGGAAGAACTGGGAAATGGGGATTGGATGTGGCCCCTTTTAACTTTCGAATGGGTTGGGCGTGGTCTCAGGAAGGTGAAAATTTTGGTCTGATAGGTGTGGATTGGACTCAGCCGAGGCAAGGGTCCTAAGCTGAGGCAAGGGTCTCATGTGTCAAGATGAAGACTAAAGATTTCAGGTCCTTCCATCCTTTATAGAGGGGTGCAACAGATACATACCCTAATATCATTCCGGGGAGCCACACTGTAAGGTTGCCAAATGTAATGTTTTTTGACTTCCCCTTAGGAAGTCTGACGGAGGTGAGGCTTTTTCTGCAGGGTGCAAACTCAAATTAAAAGAGGAAGCAGCTTCAGGCTCTAACAGCCATTAAGGAGTTCAGCCTAAAGGAGGACTGAAGGGACCTTCCAACTTAGGTATTTGTATCCCCAGTCCACCTTGAGTATATCAGCTCTGGAGAGAGGAAGCTCCAGAAGCACTTTGCCGTTGTCAACCTGGGAGACTGCAAGCAAGGTTAGCTAGATGTGATACTACTTCACTTTTGCCTTAGAGGGGAGTCCCAAGAAGGTGAGGACCGGGGCTGGGGATTTAGCTCAGCGGCAAAGCGCCTGCCTGGCAAGCACAAGGTCATGAGTTCGGTTCCCGGTGCCGGAAAAAAAAAAACCAAAAAAAAAAAAAAAAAAGAAGGTGAGGACCTTGATATGAGGCAGTAGCAGTCTGAGAGGGAGCCATACTTGGCCAGCAGGGGAATCCCTGGTTCTGTCCATAATCAAATTAAGGACCCTTGATAAGGACTGATGGTCCATGCCATCCTCCTTTCCTCTTCTGGTTAACAAGGTAAAGAAGGATCCTGTGGAGTCTGAGTGTTCCTTGTTCTCAGCCCTGGGAGGATGCATGTAGGGGTGACCAAATGGAATGAGTTCCCAGTTTGGCATATGTTCCCCCAGGACCCAAGGCCCTGGCACCTTTCAGGATAGTGAGGGACTGGCTGGCAGATGAAGCTCCTGGTAAATAGAGCGTGAGATAGACTCTGCTAAAAGATGAAAACCCTGAAGTAGGACTGGGGTAATCTCTCAACATAACAGACCCTAGTCATGGATGACTGAATTTTTGCAATTTTTCTTCTGTTTGTAATATCCTAGGGAGTTGAAAGCCTTGGTCTTAGTGTGTGACATCAGCAGAGGGAGGAGTTCGAGGATCTACCAAGAGTCAAGGTAAAGTAAAGACATTGAGGAGGACTGATACCCCTCTCAAATGCAGGAAGAGAGGCCCACAAAACCCACCTTGTCCATGTTGTGAACCCTGGGGAGATCTGGGCAGGAGATCTAGCCTACTCTCCCTTCTTCCAAGAGGTGAATGGTGGGTGTTTGAAGGAGATGAAGTCTTGGTCTGAAGAGAATATCAGATCAGGAAAAGGTGGTCCCTGTCCTGCCAGGAATAAAGATAAATACCTATCATAGTTACTTTCTTCTTGCTGGGACAAAATACCTGTCACACACAATTTAAAAGATGATAGGATTATTTTGGCTCACATTTCAGTCACGCAGAGGGCCATGGGGGAAGAGAGGTGCTCATATCGTGGCGGATAGAGAAGCAGGAAAAGTAAAGGAAGGAGCAGGGAAGTGAGGAAAAACATTATGCCCTCAGTGACTCCCACTTCTAAGCAAACCCCACCTCCTAACCACAAGTCAACTAAAAGCCCCTGTAATCTAATCACCTTCCAAAAGCCCTGACTACGATCCCATGAGGCTTTGTGTGGAGACTCTCTCCATATAGACGATAACAGTGGAGCAGATAGGACATAGCCTTGGGTATGAGGGGTTGCATGTTGCATCTCTTCATTTTTGCTTTGACAGTCTCAGGGAAGTGAGAGCCGTGGCCTGACAGTGTGACAACAGGTCAACCGAGGGAGGAATCCCAGTATCCATCAACCGTCAAGGTAAGGACTCTCATGGGTAAGGAGTACCTCCTACTCCAGAGAGAAGTGACACTGCAGAGCCTGGCTATCTCCGGTTCTCAGCCCTGGGAGAACTCAGGCAGGGCAGACAAGATGTGCTGTGTCCTCAGTTTCTCCAAATGTTAGGGAGATGGCTCAAAGAGGTGAGATTGCAGTCTGATAGGATAGTGTCGTGTCAACAGTGCATGGTTCAATCTTTGCAGAAGCTAAAGCAGAATAACACAAGTGGGCCCGAGAGACTCCCCAGCGCTGGACAAGACCCAGCCTTTGCTGTCAGTTCTGGGAGGCCCAAGCAGGGTTAGCCAGATGTTTTGCCTCATTTATTTCTCTTGTACTTAGGACCTTGGTCTGCGCAGGACAGTAGTCTTGGTCAGAGGGAGTAGTCCCAGACTGTAGCATTTAAAATAAGGACCCTGAGTGAAGACTGAGGGCAGCAGTCTTCTTTCTAGCACTGAAGGCACACTCCCTCCTTGCTCATGCTGTCAGTCTTGGTACCCTGGAGCATAGGGGCCAGATGTAATGCACTCTCACTTCTGTCTTATTGTTATCAAAGAATTGAGGGCTTGTTCTCAAGGCCAGAAAATGGGGAGAGTCCTAGGTCCTGACAAGCATCAATGCAGAGAATGAAAGTGCTTTTCACGTAGAAGAGATGGGGTCCCTAGAGTTTGGCCAGCCCTGCTTGTGACCTCATGAGGTCCTGGACAAGTGTGGTGGGAGGTGCTGCTCCCTCACTTCCTCCTGTGGATCTCTAGAATGTGAGATGCAGTTCTGAGAGTTTGTCTTGTTCCATCAGAGGGCAAGAATCCATGCCTTGCTAGGGGAAAGGTGAACATGGAGGTGATCCAGCCAGGAACTGTGAGGATCTTGTAGTCTGGCTCAGCCCTTCATTTCTGAGGGACCCAGAGCTGTGCATGTAATCTTCAGCTTGAGAGGCCATCTCAGTTCCTCTTCAGAGAGGTACCAGTGTCTTAGTTATGTTCTAGGTGCTGAAACAATACCTGACACCCAAAGTTAAAAGAGGAAAGGTTTATTTGGCTCACAGTTTGTAGAGGTTTCAGGTCACAGTCAGCTGGCTCCAACATAGGGAGGCAGGGCAGAGGGACATCACAGAGGGGAAACAGTCCATGGGGTGGTGGACAGGAAAACAGAAAGCAGCAAGTAGTCAAAGTAGCGAGCAGCACTGCCTGCCATTTTTCTATCCGTTCACATTCCATCCAAGCTACAAGCCTATTGATTGCTACCACCCACACCCAGGGTGAGGCTTCCATTTTTTACACCCTTAAACCCAGTATCACACCCTTAATGCACATTCATGCACCCTATTCCAGCCACCTTAGAAACTCCTCACCTGTAGAGACACATGCGGCTTTGGGGAAGCTTGTAGGTGCAAGTTATAACAACCAGGAACTGGGCAGAAGATGACCAGGCAGCATTAGGTGTCAGTGTGAGATGCACACCTTCGAGGACCTTAATGGCACCTGAACCCATGTATTCTGTTGTCATCCCGAGCCTTAGGCTGCACCTGGAGGAGCTTTTTATGTCCTCCTACAGATTCCTAGAGGGCAGGCTGACCAGAAAGACATCAGATCTGTGAGGCTCTAGGACATCACTTAAAGAGATGACCTGTAAGTGGGCTTTTGTCAGAGCCAACATAGATAATTTTTCATTTGAGGCCATTCACACTGCCCCTCTGTCCTCCAGGCCAGTGGGATCTCATCATCCACATTCCTGTTCACTCTTCTGCTGCTGCCTGCAGTGGGAACCACCATGCCTCACTTTCCGAAACAAAGGTGTCTCAACTTTGATCAACCCATCCATGACGGAGCTTCGATGAAAGAGTTGGAGGATGTCCTGGGTCACCTAACAGAGGATGAGGAGGAGTCCTCCATTTCTTCTGCTTCTTTCAGTGTTCTCCCCTCTAGCCCTCCTCTTTCTCTCTCCTCTTCCTCATCTTTCTCTCATCTAATTTCGGGCACCCTAGAGAAGGAGGATGGTCCTGCTACTGGGATGGTTGTACCTTCTCAGCATCCTCCCAAGAGTCCTCAGAGAGCCTTTACCTCCATCTCATACAGTAAATTAGTTGAAGAGCCCAGCGATGAAGAAATGGAGGAAAGTTCTAGCAGCTCAGAGTCATCAGCAGACGGTGAATCTGTAAATGATAAACTGATAGGAGAAAAGATCACTGATTTGATGCATGCTCTAGTCCTCAAGTATCAACTGAAGGAACCCATCACGAAAGTCGAAATGCTTGAGATTGTCACCAGTGAGTACCAAGATTTGCTCCCCCTGATCTTTGCGAAAGCTGCTTCATGCTTGGAGATGTTTTGTGGTATTGATGTAAAAGAAACGGATGCCGTCAGTCACACCTATGTCCTTGTCAATTCCCTGGGCCTCACTTATGAGGAGGAGCTGAGTGATGAGCACAGCATGCCTACCAATGGCTTCCTGATAATCATCCTAGGGGTGATCCTCATAGAGGGGAACAAGGCCTCGTTGGAAGATATCTGGGGATTCCTGGAAATGATCGGAGTATATGAGGGGGAGAAGCACTTCATCTATGGGGAGCCCAAGAAGTTAATGAAAGATCTGGTGCAGAAAAATTACCTAGAGTGTCATCCAAATCCTAGCAGTGATCCTCCATGCTATGAGTTCTTGTGGGGTCCACGAGCCAAGGCTGAAACCACCAAGATGAAAGTTCTGCAATTTGTGGCCAAGATCAAAGGAACTGACCCCAGTTTCTTCCGTGATTCTTATAAGGAAGCTTTGAGAGAAGAGGCAGAGAGAGTGCAGGCTGCAGTTGGTCCAAGTAAATAATACCTTTGCACACCACTATTCATCAGTTTCTCTTGACCCAATGGAAGACTGAAACTGATTGTTTATTCTGTTTTTGAAGAGGAAGGGCAGTTGAAGCTCTTTTATACTGACTATTAATTCATTTGGAAGATTTTTGTTCTTTTCATTCTTCCTTTTTCATTAGTATATATTTGCAACCCATAACAAATGCATTCATTGCGAAGAATGCATACATATACATATTTCATCTTATTCTCTTCTGTTTTTCCTCTCTTCCCTTGCATAGCCCCCTACCTCGAGGTCCTCTTCCCACCTCCATAAAGTTTATCTCCCTGTGTCCTATAATCTATTCTGTATTTTGCCCCTAAATTGTTGATATGTTGAGTTTCTTATTCAAGATAAATTGTGTGATGTTGAACCTTCTGTGTCTGATTTATTTCACTCAATACTGTGGTCTCAAGGAGCATCCATTTCCCTACAAACAACTCAAATTTATCTGTCTTTATGACTGATTCATAATCCATTGTGTATAGGTATATTTCTTTCATGTATTCATCTGTTGCTGGGTAACAACCTCCAAGTTTAGCTATCTGAATTTGTTGCTATAAAAACGTGTATGTATGCCTGTAATATGATACTCAGGAGAAGTATTGGTGGGTGTGTTGATTTGGGGCGGCTTATTTTGCAAGGGGAACAACATAATACAGGACACATACTTTATATGATTATTTATAAGTCACCCAAAGAGCAGTATACAAAAGAGTGCAGGAAATCTGTCCACACACTAAGACCAAGGAATCCAGCTGAGGGCCTGGATCCCACAACAATGTCCTACATGAGTTGAGGTAAATACCCAGAGCTCATAATAATGCCTCCCATGAATCCAACTGGAGGCCCAGAACCCATGACAACGTCCCATGCAGGCCTGTTTCACGGATCTGCTGGAAAGGCCCAAAGGTCAGTGGTGGAATCTACAAAGTCTATGCCAGCAGGAAGAAGGATCTGTGCTAGCAGGCTGAGGGATCTGCACTGGAGCCAGGAAGTGATGCTCAGAAGAACCAGGGCTCCCCCAAAAGGTACCACAGCCATCGTTGGCAACAGTGAGGTCCCAAGCTCCTCCGATGACCAGGATGGCCGAGTTCCCATCAGGGAAGCCAACGCAGCAAGCTTTTCCAGGAGGCTGGCAATGCACCATCTTCCCCTCCAGAACCAGGAAGCTATGCTCAAAGTGAGGACCAGAGCTCCCCAAAGTGAACTGAAGCCATTCTCAGTGCCAGCGAGGTCCCGAGCTCCTCGGAGGATGAAAGCAGCCAAGTTCATCAGGAAGCCAGCTCCCCACGGTCTCTCTCAGCTCCCAACAGCTTCTCCCAGCTCCCAACAGCCCTGCTTCTTCTTCTCCAGGTCTGCCTCTTATGCTGCTGGCAACAGTCCTCAGGTGGGCCTCCCACACCCAGCACCACTCACTCAGTTCATCTGGGGGTTATAAGTTGACCACCAGTTATCAATCCACTACAGTGGGTCAAATGGAACCTTTATTTGTAATTTTCTGAGGATTTTCCATAGTGATTTGCATCGTGGTTGTGCTAGCTTACATTTCTACTAATAACATGGAAGGGTTCAGTTTTCCCCACAATCTCACCAACATTTATTTTTTTAGTTTTGAGTTCATCATGATAGCCATTCTTTCTGTAGTGAAGTGATATCTGCACAGTTTGATTTGCCTTTCTCTGATGGCCTAATATGCTGAACAGTTTTTTTCTTTTATGTTTACTGGCCATTTGTGCTTCTGAGAAATATCTGTATATTCAAATTGTCACCTTTTCTGATTGGATCTTTTATTTTGGGGGTTGGGATTTTTTTGAAGATTTGATATATTCTAGATATTAATCCTCTGAGGAATAGCTTGCAATTTTTTTCATTCTGTAGATTATATTTTTAGTATGTCGGTTGCTTTTTTTGCTATGAAGAAGCTTTTAATTTGATATAATCAGGGCTGGGTATTTAGCTCAGTGGTACAGCCCCTGCCTGGCAAGCACAAGGTCGTGAGTTTGATTCCCCGTACTGGACAAAAATAAAGAATTTGATATAATCCCATTTGTTAATTGTTACAGTTATTTCTTGTGAAGCTGAGGTTTTGTTCAGAAAGTCTTTGCCTAGGCCTATTCCCCTAATGATTTTACCATTTTTTCTTCCAGCAGACTGTATCCATTTTCATATATGATTCATTTGGATTGATTTTCATTCAGGCTGAGAGATATGGATCTCCACTCATTTTTCTGCATATGAATACCAGTTTTCCCAGTAACATTTGTGAAAGAGTCTATCTTTTTTGGCCCCTTTGTTGAAAAACAGATGGTTGAAGGTGTGTCAAGTTGTTTCTGCATCCTCACTTCTATTCCACTGATCCACATACCTCTTTTTGTGCCAGTAACATGCAGTTTTTATCATTGTAGCTTTGAAAGAGTTTGGAATTCAGGATTGTGATTCCTTGTACTTTACTCGTGTTGCCCAGGATTGCCTTTGCTAGTCTAGGTCTCATCTGGTTTTATGTAACACTCGTAATTTTTTTTGGCCCTGTTAATATTTTTGATATTTTGTTTGGGGTTGCACTAATTCTACATGCCATTTTTATTTTTTTTTTATTTTTTTTATTTTTTTTTTTTTTTTAGTTTTTCTCCGGTACCGGGAACCGAACTCACGACCTTGCGCTTGCCAGGCAGGCGCTTTTGCCGCTGAGCTAAATCCCCAGCCCCATGCCATTTTTATTAATATGGCCATTTTGACAAAATTCTAAGTAGAGAGGGTTGGGATCACGCAAGGAAGAACACAATGTATGATTATTTGGTGTTCCTGTTCTATATGATGTGCAGGTAATTTTATCTATTTTTTTCCTTTTGAAACTTTAAAATGTTATTTCTTTTAATAGAGTTATTAGCTTTAGAATATGTTTATGAGTGACATTGGTCAAATTTACTGTTTTTTAATTAGATTTTAAGAAAATGCTGAGAAAATCTATACAATGATTATATTATTGATTCCTTTAAACGTTTTAGTTTATTCTGTAAAATTAAACATGTAACTGGATTTGCTTGGTTTGTTCAGAAAAGTAGGAAAAAAGGTCATAAATTTTAGTAAATTAAGCCACAGTTCCTTCTGTGAGAGTTAATTTTAAATTAAGCTATGGGTGGTGGTAGGGGCCAGATTCTCAGTGCCTTAAAATGAAGAGAAAAGTCTTGAATGGAAAACTGCTCTGAGCATCTCCTTTTGGATTGAGGCCAAGCCCAGGAAGTCTCCATTTAGGGCAGGTATGGAAGGGATCTCATGCCCTTCTCCTGGTGTGGATGAATTCAGTGCATGGGCTAAGTGTTCTATATGCAACAGCCACAAGAATTTCCTGGATGTGTGACGGTACTCCCTTGAGATGGTGCCAGAAGCGACCAGGCTGGCACTGTTTTTGCTGGCCTTGTAGAGCTAAAGTCCAATGCATTAAAATGAATTTAAGATCTGGATATTGTTCTAGTTACTTTTCTGGTTGGGACCAAATACCCGACACCAGTTAATAGAGGAAAGGTTTAGTTTAGCTCTCAATTTGTAGAAGTTTCAGTCCATAGTCAGCTGGCTCCAAGTCAGGGTGGTACGGTAGAGGGCATCACAGAGGAGAAACAGTCCACAGCCTTGTGGACTGGAAGCAGTAAAGCAGCAAGCCTCCTTTTCCCTTTTATCCCATCCAGGCCACAAGCCTTTTGGGTGGCTCCACCCACAACCAGGGTGGGTCTTACACCATCCACACCCAGATCTATGATCAACCAATGTAGTTATCACACACTCTTAATCCCAGTATCACATGATTTAGATCTAGCCAGCTCTGCAAAGTCCCACCTGGGAGCACATGAGGCTTTGGCGGGACCTCTAGATACAAGCCATATCAGCTATCATGACTACAGTTTGGGCAAATCAAAACAAGGTTTAGGATTTAGTAGAAGTGGAATCATTAAAAAATAATTTTGAATGGATAAGAAGCTGGGAGGAGAGGAAGGAGTTGGTCTTTGATTTCATAACCTTTGAGTTATATAAGCTAGGAAAGACTGACTCATGCTCAAGTTGTTACATCCCACAGAGTAAAATGTTAATGACTTTTATTTGGAAACCTGCATTTTTGTCCAATTTGATATTCTTTCTACTGATGAGTAGTATGTTTTCTGACATATCGCAGGTAACAACAAAAGTCTTAGAGGAGAGGATGGTAGCACCTCTGGTCAAAATAATATTCAAAATAACTGCCATTCATTAAATATTCAGTATATGCCAGACATTGTGCCAGTTATTTTACTTATAATCTGGACATTTTAGCAGTCTTGCAAGCTGGAGTTCCCCCAACCTGCTTCACAGAGGAAGAAACTAAGGCTTGTAGGTGACAAGGCTAAGATAAGAGAGTCAGAGTCCTCATGTTACCCTTCCTCCCAGTCTAAAGCAGGCAGTCTCTTTCTTAGTTCATTTCTCATGTCTCTCAGGAGGCAAAAATGATCTCACATCAAAGTACTAAAAGCATAAGGGAGAGGAAATGAGGACATAAAACAATGTGAGGATTGTCTTCACTTTATTTACTTAGTGTTTTCTTGTCCCCGTCCCTTAATACGTGACTCTACCCAAGTTTTAGCACTTGTGTTCTGTCAGAGCGCTTGCCTGCATCCTGCGCCCTTCTGCCCACTGTACCCTTCTACTCCACAACCCAACACTGTAGCCTCCTCTGAAGGATGTGCCCCAGTCCCAGTGACATGGTGCAGAATCACCTACCTTTCCCCTGACACAGAAAAATCCGCCTTCCTGTAGGAGTTCCCTGACTGTCCCCTTCCCCCTTCTGAAATTCATCTATTTTGGAAGAATGATAGTGTCACTTTCAAGCTTCGTGTTGAAATGAACCCCCAGTGCAACAGGCTGAGGAGGTGTGGCCATTGGGAAGTGAGCGAGTCACGAGAGTTCCCTTCTCATGAATGAGATTAACACTGTTATAAATCTGGTTGGAAGGGAGTTTTGCTTGCTCTTGTGCCATGCAATGACACATTCTTCTCTGGAGAGTGTAGCTTTTGCTTTATATGCATGTTTATAAATTTTTTTTTCTGCTTTTAATCCAAACCAATGTATTGTTCCAACTCAGATATTGCCGTTCTTTCAGAGTTCATTTGCTGTCCTTTTCACATCTTCCCTGTCTATATTTGCCCCGTTTGAACTTTCCTCTTTTGCAGGGCAACAGTTGGGATGCTGGGGCTAGAATACAGAACCTTACATATATTAAGCAAGCACCTCACTATGGAAATGTACCCTTAGCTTTGAACACATAAAATATGGTTGTAATTAATTTGAAAGCCCTTGCTTAACTCCATCAATTATGTTGTTTCTATGCCAATCTCAATTAATAGT